ACAATGACGTATTTTTGCGCATGAGCTTACACTAGCTAGCCAACGTCGCCATGACGTCGCCTACAAGCGTGATCGGGGATTTCAATTGGAGAAGCAGTTTCTGCCCATCTTCATACAGTACTGTCTTTGCTTTTAAAGATTGGAGAGCCACAGTGGGGCGCGCGTAAACCAAGGCATGGATTTTCTCTCCCACTGGAATGGAATGCGCTGGATGGAATTATTTCCGTGTGCGCAGATGTGTAGCCACAATCCTTCTGTTTATTCGAGCTTTTCCCCGGATTATTATTATTATATTTCTTTAATTTGAGACGCCTTTTCGTCATATTTTGCAACATTGGACATTAATCATGTTGAGATAACGGTTGATCTATCCGTAGGATTTGTTAAGCAAAATAACTTGATGTTATAGGAGTGCCTGTCAAATGATAGGCAAGGCTATTTATAAAGTGAGTAGCCAGGAATAAAGTAGTTATAATACCAAGGGCCCTTACATCCCCTCTGCAGAGGGGTCATATAGGGAACAGAGGCTCTGCCACGTCTAGAGGGGTCATATAGGAAACAGAGGCTCTGCCACGTCTAGAGGGGTCATATAGGAAACAGAGGCTCTGCCACGTCTAGAGGGGTCATATAGGAACAGAGGCTCTGCCACGTCTAGAGGGGTCATATAGGAAACAGAGGCTCTGCCACGTCTAGAGGGGTCATATAGGAAACAGAGGCTCTGCCACGTCTAGAGGGGTCATATAGGGAACAGAGGCTCTGCCACGTCTAGAGGGGTCATATAGGGAAACAGAGGCTCTGCCACGTCTAGAGGGGTCATATAGGAAACAGAGGCTCTGCCACGTCTAGAGGGGTCATATAGGGAACAGAGGCTCTGCCACGTCTAGAGGGGTCATATAGGAAACAGAGGCTCTGCCACGTCTAGAGGGGTCATATAGGAAACAGAGGCTCTGCCACGTCTAGAGGGGTCATATAGGGAACAGAGGCTCTGCCACGTCTAGAGGGGTCATATAGGGAAACAGAGGCTCTGCCACGTCTAGAGGGGTCATATAGGAACAGAGGCTCTGCCACGTCTAGAGGGGTCATATAGGAAACAGAGGCTCTGCCACGTCTAGAGGGGTCATATAGGAAACAGAGGCTCTGCCACGTCTAGAGGGGTCATATAGGAAACAGAGGCTCTGCCACGTCTAGAGGGGTCATATAGGGAACAGAGGCTCTGCCACGTCTAGAGGGGTCATATAGGGAACAGAGGCTCTGCCACGTCTAGAGGGGTCATATAGGAAACAGAGGCTCTGCCACGTCTAGAGGGGTCATATAGGAAACAGAGGCTCTGCCACGTCTAGAGGGGTCATATAGGAAACAGAGGCTCTGCCATGTCTAGTCCTATAGCTCTGGTGCAGGGTGTTGGTAGTGCCCTCACCATCCATCACCATCTATAGTGAGCGCGCGGTCGAAAGACACCCTGGACCAGAGCTAGTCTGGTCTCCGGTCTGAATCATTTCTAGCTGGACTACCAGTCTCTCCATGTGTCCAGAATACTGGGATCTGTTACCCAGGCTTCATCCCCCCTATAGTGTTCTAGGGCTACCTTTGACCATGGCCCACAGGGCTCTGCATCCCCCCCTATAGTGTACTAGGGCTACCTTTGACCATGGCCCACAGGGCTCTGCATCCCCCCCTATAGTGTACTAGGGCTACCTTTGACCATGGCCCACAGGGCTCTGCATCCCCCCCTATAGTGTACTAGGGCTACCTTTGACCATGGCCCACAGGGCTCTGCATCCCCCCTATAGTGTACTAGGGCTACCTTTGACCATGGCCCACAGGGCTCTGCATCCCCCCCTATAGTGTACTAGGGCTACCTTTGACCATGGCCCACAGGGCTCTGCATCCCCCCCTATAGTGCACTAGGGCTACCTTTGACCATGGCCCACAGGGCTCTGCATCCCCCCCTATAGTGCACTAGGGCTACCTTTGACCATGGCCCACGGGCTCTGCATCCCTCCCCATAGTGCACTAGAGTAACCTTTGACCTCTGGTAAAACATAGTTCACTATAAGGAACAGGGTGCCGTTTGGGACATAGTGCATTCGGAAAGTATTCAGACCCCTTCACTTTTTTTTTCTCGCACATTTTGTTACGTTACAGCCTTATTCTAAAGTGGATTAAATAAATAAAATCCTCCCATCTACACACAATACCCCATGACAAAGCAAAAACAGGTTTTTAGAAATGTTTGCAAATGTATAAAATCAAATAAACAGAAATACCCTATTTACATAAGTATTCAGACACTTTGCTGTGAGACTCGAAATTGAGCTCCGGTGCATCTTGTTTCCATTGATCATCCTTGATATGTTTCTACAACTTGATGAGAGTCCACCTGTGGTAAATTCAATGTTCATGATTTGGAAAGGAACACACCTGTCTATATAAAAAAGGTCCCTCAGTTGACAAGCCATGAGGTCGAAGGAACTGTCCGTAGAGCTCCGAGACACAGGTCTGGGGACGGGTACCAAAAACATTTCTGCAGCATTGAAGGTCCCCAAGAACACAGTGGCCTCCATCATTCTTACATGGAAGACATTTGGAACCACCAAGACTCTTCTTAGAGCTGGCCGCCCGGCCAAACTGAGCAATCGGGGGAGAAGGGCCTTGGTCAGGGAGGTGACCAAGAACCTAATGGTCACTCTGAAAGAGCTCCAGAGTTCCTCTGTGGAGATGGGAGAACCTTCCAGAAGGACAACCATCTCTGCAGCACTCCACCAATCAGGCCTTTATGGTAGAGTGGCCAGACAGAAGCCACTCCTCAGTAAAAGGCACATGAAAGCCCGCTTGGAGTTTGCCAAAAGGCACCTAAAGACTCTCTGACCATGAGAAACAAGATTCTCTGGTCTGATGAAACCAAGATTGAACTCTTTGGCCAGAATGCCAAGCATCACGTCTGGAGGCAACCTGGCACCCTCCCTACGGTGAAGCATGGTGGTGGCAGCATCATGCTGTGGGGATGTTTTTCAGTGGCAGGGACTGGGAGACTAGTCAGGATCGAGGCAAAGATGAACAGAGCAAAGTACAGAGATCCTTGATGAAAACCTGCTCCAGAGGACCTCAGACTGGGTCGAAGGTTCACCTTCCAACTGGACAACGACCCTAAACACACAGCCAAGACAACGCAGGAGTAGCTTCGGGACAAGTCTCTGAATGTCCTTGAGTGGCCCAGCCAGAACAAGGACTTGAACCCGATCGAACATCTCTGGAGAGACCTGAAAATAGCTGTGCAGCGACACTCCCCATCCAACCTGACAGAGCTTGAGAGGATCTGCAGAGAAGAATGGGAGAAACTCCCCAAATACAGGTGTGCCAAGCTTGTAGCGTCGTACCCAAGAAGCCTCGAGGCTGTAATCGCTGCCAAAGGTGCGTCAACAAAGTACTGAGTAAAGGGTCTGAATACTTATGCAAATGTAATATCCGTTTTTTATTTGTAATACATTTGCAAAAATGTATAAAACAGTTTTTGCTTCGTCATTATGGGGCATTGTGTGTAGATTGACAGATTGTTTTGTAATTTAAAAAAAATCAATTTTAGAGTAAAGCTGTAACGTAACAAAATGTGGAAAAAGTCAAGGGGGTCTGAATACTTTCCGAATGCACTGTATGTCATTCAGAGTATGACAGCAGAGAGAATATCAAAATGGACAAGACAGTAATATGGAACCACGTCCCCGATGTCACTTAAAATTCCCCCACCGGACACAGACACGTCATTAAAATATGCCAAGGTTGCTTGGCTGGGACGGCAACAGACCTTCAGAGAGAGAGAGAGAGGGGACAAAGCGAGGCTAAACCTTGAATGACTTTTTCCCTAGTAGAGACTTGAGTTAGTGGGATAACAAAAGAATGCATTCTGGATGGCGTAAAAGATCAGACTAGATAGACGCACTAGGTCAGAGCCCCACACAACATTAGAAATGTAACCGAAATTCTAACGCGTAGACACACATGTAGTTCAAATGGCATATTATTATTATTATTATTATTAGTACAAGCCATAATATATCAGAGTAAAAAAGAATGAAGCAGGTAAAGAATTAATTCCACTCAGTAAACCCAGGTAACTTAGATAATAAACTTTAATTTCAAGTCACGATGGATGGTTGTGGACCATAGAAAACAATAGTGAAACATAATATAGTGCATTCTAATGGAGATCAACGAGAAGAAGGGTCCCAAATGGCACCCTATTCCCTATAGAGAACGCTACTTTTCACCAGAGAATGGCACCCTATTCCCTATATAGAACGCTACTTTTCACCAGAGAATGGCACCCTATTCCCTATATAGAACGCTACTTTTCACCAGAGCAACAGTTTTGGGAAGGTGTTCCTAATGTTTTGTACACTCGGTGTCCAGTGAATATGGTGCCATTTGGGAAGCTGCCGTCAAGTGTCACTTTTAGCTTGGTTCTGAGGAGGGACTTGTCATTCATGTTCCTGAACAATACCTGCGATTGAGACGGGGAAAGAAAACGTACACTTGAGTCCCCGTGTAGCTCAGTTGGTAGAGCATGGCGTTTGCAACGCCAGGGTTGTGGGTTCGTTTCCCCACGGGGGACCAGTATGACAATGTATGCACTCACTAACTGTAAGTCGCTCTGGATAAGAGCGTCTGCTAAATGACTAAAATGTCAATTTAAAAAAAACTTTAGATACGGTAAGTTGTCCCCCCCCCCCCCTTGACAGAGTGAGTCTCTCTGTCTCTCCCCCCACCTCACAGAGTGAGTTCCCTCCCCCCCTTGACAGAGGGAGTTCCCCCCCTCCCCCCCATGACAGAGGGAGGTCCCCCCTCCACCCCATGACAGAGGGAGTCCCCCCCTCCACCCCATGACAGAGGGAGTCCCCCCCTCCACCCCATGACAGAGGGAGTCCCCCCCCCTCCCCCCATGACAGAGGGAGTCCCCCCCCTCCCCCCATGACAGAGGGAGTCCCCCCCTCCACCCCATGACAGAGGGAGTCCCCCCTCCCTGAGAGAGAGGGAGAGGAGGGAAAGAGTGACTCAATAAGAGGGTGCATGTGAATACAGGAAGTGGACAGGACTGCTGTCTCCCTCCGCCCAATACAACTCAGTGCATGACCAGAGGACTACGATACCCAACGACCACCACAGACATGACATCACCAGGAAGTGTAGTTGTGTAGAGTTGGTTGGCGCATCATCCTCCCAAAAAAAAAAAGTCTTAAAAACACCTGGGTTGAAATGGTAAGTCAAACCCACGTCCACAAATAAACACCACCGTTTATTAGCGATATTTTCAAAATGTTTGTAATTTTTTTTGCATTTTTTTTCTTGTTATTTTTACATGAACCCGACACGGATAGATAGATTCACAAGGACAGGACGTTTCTAGAAAATGTTTACACCCACACCCACCTGCTCTCTTAAGTCTTTTTAATCCGTTTCATTTAGTAATTAATTTATTAATGAATGGCCTGTCTTCAAGACACTGCCATGACAACCAGGGGAGAGAAGCTACTGTCCCAAACACACAAGACAGTCCATTCTAGCGCGTAGCATAGGGTGAAGAAGGGTGGTTAGGGGTCAGAGGTCAGAGCTAGGAGTGGTGCTATAGGTAAATCTCGTAGATATCGTCCAGCTCTTCGTGAAACAAGTCCCATTCGTCCTCCGAGTCGGTGACGTCTTCGTCGGTCCCTGCAGCGAGGAGCATGAGGAGCATCTCGCTCAGTTCAAAGGTCACCATCTCCTCGTCCTCGTTGTCGAAGGAGTCGCTGCTGTTCTCCCGCTCTTCAAACAGCTCCCACAGGGGCGTCCTCCTCGAGTTCTGGAGGGGAGAGGAGAACAGTACTATTAAAAACTGGAATTAGTTTTGGTATTACGAAAGCAGAACAGGAAGCGTTACAATATGGCTGAGAAACTTCCGGAACATTTGAAAAATGTCCAAAATGACAGATCGTTGTCTGTTAACGTATGAACCCCGGGTCAAAACAGGCTCAATCCATTTCTGACGGAAAGGACGTGTGTCGGAGCGCCGCTCCACCTTACCCTGTTCCTGCCGTTGGAACCCGACTGTCTTCTCTGCGGCTGAGGCTCCTCCAGCCGTCCGTCAGGGAAGGCGTGTTTGTAGAAGCAGTTGGAGCCAAACGGACAGGTGCCACGACCCTGGTCGAAGTACCGACAGGCTTTAGTCCTGCGGGACACAGACAGAAAGACAGGCTCAGTCAGCAGAGGACAGTGATTATTACAGATACAGGCTTTAGTCCTGCGGGACACAGACAGAGAGACAGGCCCAGTCAGCAGAGGACAGTGATTATTACAGATACAGGCTTTAGTCCTGCGGGACACAGACAGAGAGACAGGCCCAGTCAGCAGAGGACAGTGATTATTACAGATACAGGCTTTAGTCCTGCGGGACACAGACAGAGAGACAGGCCCAGTCAGCAGAGGACAGTGATTATTACAGATACAGGCTTTAGTCCTGCGGGACACAGACAGAGAGACAGGCCCAGTCAGCAGAGGACAGTGATTATTACAGATACAGGCTTTAGTCCTGCGGGACACAGACAGAGAGACAGGCCCAGTCAGCAGAGGACAGTGATTATTACAGATACAGGCTTTAGTCCTGCGGGACACAGACAGAGAGACAGGCCCAGTCAGCAGAGGACAGTGATTATTACAGATACAGGCTTTAGTCCTGCGGGACACAGACAGAGAGACAGGCCCAGTCAGCAGAGGACAGTGATTATTACAGATACAGGCTTTAGTCCTGCGGGACACAGACAGAGAGACAGGCCCAGTCAGCAGAGGACAGTGATTATTACAGATACAGGCTTTAGTCCTGCGGGACACAGACAGAGAGACAGGCCCAGTCAGCAGAGGACAGTGATTATTACAGATACAGGCTTTAGTCCTGCGGGACACAGACAGAGAGACAGGCCCAGTCAGCAGAGGACAGTGATTATTACAGATACAGGCTTTAGTCCTGCGGGACACAGACAGAGAGACAGGCCCAGTCAGCAGAGGACAGTGATTATTACAGATACAGGCTTTAGTCCTGCGGGACACAGACAGAGAGACAGGCCCAGTCAGCAGAGGACAGTGATTATTACAGATACAGGCTTTAGTCCTGCGGGACACAGACAGAGAGACAGGCCCAGTCAGCAGAGGACAGTGATTATTACAGATACAGGCTTTAGTCCTGCGGGACACAGACAGAGAGACAGGCCCAGTCAGCAGAGGACAGTGATTATTACAGATACAGGCTTTAGTCCTGCGGGACACAGACAGAGAGACAGGCTCAGTCAGCAGAGGACAGTGATTATTACAGATACAGGCTTTAGTCCTGCGGGACACAGACAGAGAGACAGGCCCAGTCAGCAGAGGACAGTGATTATTACAGATACAGGCTTTAGTCCTGCGGGACACAGACAGAGAGACAGGCCCAGTCAGCAGAGGACAGTGATTATTACAGATACAGGCTTTAGTCCTGCGGGACACAGACAGAGAGACAGGCTCAGTCAGCAGAGGACAGTGATTATTACAGATACAGGCTTTAGTCCTGCGGGACACAGACAGAGAGACAGGCCCAGTCAGCAGAGGACAGTGATTATTACAGATACAGGCTTTAGTCCTGCGGGACACAGACAGAGAGACAGGCCCAGTCAGCAGAGGACAGTGATTATTACAGATACAGGCTTTAGTCCTGCGGGACACAGACAGAGAGACAGGCCCAGTCAGCAGAGGACAGTGATTATTACAGATACAGGCTTTAGTCCTGCGGGACACAGACAGAGAGACAGGCCCAGTCAGCAGAGGACAGTGATTATTACAGATACAGGCTTTAGTCCTGCGGGACACAGACAGAGAGACAGGCCCAGTCAGCAGAGGACAGTGATTATTACAGATACAGGCTTTAGTCCTGCGGGACACAGACAGAGAGACAGGCCCAGTCAGCAGAGGACAGTGATTATTACAGATAAAACACAGAGCCGACTAGTCCATCTGTGTCCTCTACACAACGTGTTCCATCCTCCTGAGAAGGCTCATGGTAAGACCGGTCAACTGTTCTCTCTGCTGCCGCACGGGCAAGCGGTACCGGAGCGCCAAGTCTAGGTCCAAACGGCTCCTCAACAGCTTCTACCCCCAAGCCATAAGACTGCTGAACAATTAATCAAAAATGGCCACCCGGACTATTTACATTGACACCCCCCCCCTGCTACTCAGCGTTAATTATCTATGCAGTCACTTTAACCCCATGCCATCAGTACATAGCTTACCCCATGCCATCAGTACATAGCTTACCCCATGCCATCAGTACATAGCTTACCCCATGCCACCAGTACATAGCTTACCCCATGCCACCAGTACATAGCTTACCCCATGCCATCAGTCCATAGCTTACCCCATGCCATCAGTACATAGCTTACCCCATGCCATCAGTACATAGCTTACCCCATGCCATCAGTACATAGCTTACCCCATGCCACCAGTACATAGCTTACCCCATGCCATCCTTGTATTTCTGTATCAGTTTCTGCTTGTCTTCCTTGTCCTCCACCCAGTACTCACTGGGGATGACGAAGTTGGACGTGATCCGACACTCTGGACAGGACCTGGGAAGAGAGAGGTTTAGTTGGATAAGGTCAAAACAAGTGAAAAAACATAGCTTGTGTCTGACAGCAGGGACCATAGCTCGTCCGTCTCCGACACGCGAGGGGACTCGTCCGTCTCGGGCACGCGAGGGGACTCGTCCGTCTCGGGCACGCGAGGGGACTCGTCCGGCTCGGGCACGCGAGGGGACTCGTCCGGCTCGGGCACGCGAGCGCAGATACCAGCTCCCTACATGTCAAACTGACAGGTGTAAACTGTCCTTCACGTCAGCTGCTATAATCTTCCTCAAAAGCTGTAGAAGTATATAGTCTATCATCTTCCTCAATAAGCTGTAGTAGTATATAGTCTATCATCTTCCTCAATAAGCTGTAGTAGTATATAGTCTCATCTTCCTCAATAAGCTGTAGTAGTATATAGTCTATCATCTTCCTCAATAAGCTGTAGTAGTATATAGTCTCATCTTCCTCAATAAGCTGTAGTAGTATATAGTCTATCATCTTCCTCAATAAGCTGTAGTAGTATATAGTCTATCATCTTCCTCAATAAGCTGTAGTAGTATATAGTCTCATCTTCCTCAATAAGCTGTAGTAGTATATAGTCTATCATCTTCCTCAATAAGCTGTAGAAGTATATAGTCTATCATCTTCCTCAATAAGCTGTAGTAGTATGTAGTCTCATCTTCCTCAATAAGCTGTAGTAGTATATAGTCTCATCTTCCTCAATAAGCTGTAGAAGTATATAGTCTCATCTTCCTCAATAAGCTGTAGTAGTATATAGTCTCATCTTCCTCAATAAGCTGTAGAAGTATATAGTCTCATCTTCCTCAATAAGCTGTAGTAGTATATAGTCTATCATCTTCCTCAATAAGCTGTAGTAGTATACAGTCTATCATCTTCCTCAATAAGCTGTAGTAGTATATAGTCTCATCTTCCTCAATAAGCTGTAGTAGTATATAGTCTATCATCTTCCTCAATAAGCTGTAGTAATAGTCCAGTCTACATAATGCTGTATTACTGCTTTGGTTTTCTGCTCTATATTTATTGTCATGTGTTCATAGTATTTTTGACTACACGCTGCTAAATGAATTGGCCCCTCAGGATACTAAAGGACTACTCCAGTTCCTTACTTGATGATCTTGCTCTCGAACGTCTTGGCGCTCCTCCACTTGCGGATGCACTTGAGGCAGTAGCAGTGGCAGCAGTTGGACAGGATGCCGAATCGTCTCTCGCTGGGGTTGGCCTTCTCAAACACCACCTCCATGCACACACCGCACTGCATGTCCTTACTGCGCTGGATGGCAAACGAGATCTCCATGTCCTTCTCATGGGCCTCCATGCAAGCCTGAGGGGAATAATACAGGTGTAGCTAACCGCTATAATGCATTATGAAGCCTGAGGGGAATAATACAGGTGTAGCTAACCACTATAATGCATTATGAAGCCTGAGGGGAATAATACAGGTGTAGCTAACCGCTATAATGCATTATGAAGCCTGAGGGGAATAATAAAGGTGTAGCTAACCGCTATAATGCATTATGAAGCCTGAGGGGAATAATACAGGTGTAGCTAACCCCTATAATGCATTATGAAGCCTGAGGGGAATAATACAGGTGTAGCTAACCCCTATAATGCATTATGAAGCCTGAGGGGAATAATACAGGTGTAGCTAACCACTATAATGCATTATGAAGCCTGAGGGGAATAATACAGGTGTAGCTAACCGCTATAATGCATTATGAAGCCTGAGGGGAATAATACAGGTGTAGCTAACCGCTATAATGCATTATGAAGCCTGAGGGGAATAATACAGGTGTAGCTAACCGCTATAATGCATTATGAAGCCTGAGGGGACACCAAAACAAGTTAAAGTTAACCACCAGAAACTTCCACATTTATGAACAACATCAGGAAACCGTCACACAGGGCAGTTGACCATTTCCAATGACTTGATCATTGTTTTATGAAATAAGTGTCTCAATTCTGGAACACTGATACTTTGTATTGTATAAATCCAGTATATGACAGTAAAACAAGGAGACTGAGTACCACACCCCCTACTGATGTTAAATCAGACCACTCCACCTGTGAGGTGTTAGGATGACCGTATCTTTGTTGGACCTTGGTGTGTTCTGATCGCTGGGCGTGTATGTGTGTCGACAGGGCCATTACCTTGGTGTGTTCTGATCGCTGGGCGTGTGTGTCGACAGGGCCATTACCTTGGTGTGTTCTGATCGCTGGGCGTGTGTGTCGACAGGGCCATTACCTTGGTGTGTTCTGATCGCTGGGCGTGTGTGTGTGTGTCGACAGGGCCATTACCTTGGTGTGTTCTGATCGCTGGGCCTGTGTGTGTGTCGACAGGGCCATTACCTTGGTGTGTTCTGATCGCTGGGCGTGTGTGTCGACAGGGCCATTACCTTGGTGTGTTCTGATCGCTGGGCGTGTGTGTGTGTGTCGACAGGGCCATTACCTTGGTGTGTTCTGATCGCTGGGCGTGTGTGTGTGTCGACAGGGCCATTACCTTGGTGTGTTCTGATCGCTGGGCCTGTGTGTCGACAGGGCCATTACCTTGGTGTGTTCTGATCGCTGGGGCGTGTGTCGACAGGGCCATTACCTTGGTGTGTTCTGATCGCTGGGCGTGTGTGTGTGTCGACAGGGCCATTACCTTGGTGTGTTCTGATCGCTGGGTGTGTGTGTCGACAGGGCCATTACCTTGGTGTGTTCTGATCGCTGGGCGTGTGTGTCGACAGGGCCATTACCTTGGTGTGTTCTGATCGCTGGGCGTGTGTCGACAGGGCCATTACCTTGGTGTGTTCTGATCGCTGGGCGTGTGTGTCGACAGGGCCATTACCTTGGTGTGTTCTGATCGCTGGGCCTGTGTGTCGACAGGGCCATTACCTTGGTGTGTTCTGATCGCTGGGCGTGTGTGTCGACAGGGCCATTACCTTGGGTGTTCTGATCGCTGGGCCTGTGTGTCGACAGGGCCATTACCTTGGTGTGTTCTGATCGCTGGGCGTGTGTGTCGACAGGGCCATTACCTTGGTGTGTTCTGATCGCTGGGCCTGTGTGTGTGTGTCGACAGGGCCATTACCTTGGTGTGTTCTGATCGCTGGGCCTGTGTGTGTGTGTCGACAGGGCCATTACCTTGGTGTGTTCTGATCGCTGGGCCTGTGTGTGTGTGTCGACAGGGCCATTACCTTGGTGTGTTTCTGATCGCTGGGCCTGTGTGTGTGTGTCGACAGGGCCATTACCTTGGCGTGTTCTGATCGCTGGGCGTGTGTGTCGACAGGGCCATTACCTTGGTGTGTTTGATCGCTGGGGCTTGTGTGTGTGTGTCGACAAGGGCCATTACCTTGGTGTGGTTTACTGATCGCTGGGCTGTGTGTGGTGTGTCGACAGGGGGCCATTACCTTGGTGTGTTCTGATCGCTGGGTGTGTGGTGTGTGTCGACAGGGCCATTACCTTGGTGTGTTCTGATCGCTGGGCCTGTTGTGTCGACAGGGCCATTACCTTGGTGTGTTCTGATCGCTGGGCGTGTGTGTGTGTGTCGACAGGGCCATTACCTTGGCGTGTTCTGATCGCTGGGCGGTGTGTGTCGACAGGGCCATTACCTTGGCGGTGTTCTGATCGCTGGGCGTGTGTGTCGACAGGGCCATTACCTTGGTGTGTTCTGATCGCTGGGGCCTGTGTGTGTGTGTCGACAGGGTCCATTACCTTGGTGTGTTTCTGATCGCTGGGCCTGTGTTTCGACAGGGCCATTACCTTGGTGTGTTCTGATCGCTGGGCGTGTGTGTCGACAGGGCCATTACCTTGGTGTGTTCTGATCGCTGGGCGTGTGTGTCGACAGGGCCATTACCTTGGTGTGTTTCTGATCGCTGGGCGTGTGTGTCGACAGGGCCATTACCTTGGTGTGTTCTGATCGCTGGGCCTGTGTGTGTGTGTCGACAGGGCCATTACCTTGGTGTGTTCTGATCGCTGGGCGTGTGTGTCGACAGGGCCATTACCTTGGTGTGTTCTGATCGCTGGGCGTGTGTGTCGACAGGGCCATTACCTTGGTGTGTTCTGATCGCTGGGCGTGTGTGTCGACAGGGCCATTACCTTGGTGTGTTCTGATCGCTGGGGCGTGTGTCGACAGGGGCCATTACCTTGGGGTGTTTCTGATCGCTGGGCGTGTGTGTCGACAGGGGCCATTACCTTGGTGTGTTCTGATCGCTGGGCGTGTGTGTCGACAGGGGCCATTACCTTGGTGTGTTCTGATCGCTGGGCGTGTGTGTGTGTGTCGACAGGGCCATTACCTTGGTGTGTTCTGATCGCTGGGCCTGTGTGTCGACAGGGCCATTACCTTGGTGTGTTCTGATCGCTGGGCGTGTGTGTGTGTCGACAGGGCCATTACCTTGGTGTGTTCTGATCGCTGGGCGTGTGTGTGTGTCGACAGGGCCATTACCTTGGTGTGTTCTGATCGCTGGGCGTGTGTGTCGACAGGGCCATTACCTTGGTGTGTTCTGATCGCTGGGCCTGTGTGTGTGTCGACAGGGACATTACCTTGGTGTGTTCTGATCGCTGGGCGTGTGTGTGTGTCGACAGGGCCATTACCTTGGTGTGTTCTGATCGCTGGGCGTGTGTGTGTCGACAGGGCCATTACCTTGGTGTGTTCTGATCGCTGGGCGTGTGTGTGTGTCGACAGGGCCATTACCTTGGTGTGTTCTGATCGCTGGGCGTGTGTGTCGACAGGGCCATTACCTTGGTGTGTTCTGATCGCTGGGTGTGTGTGTCGACAGGGCCATTACCTTGGTGTGTTCTGATCGCTGGGTGTGTGTGTCGACAGGGCCATTACCTTGGTGTGTTCTGATCGCTGGGCGTGTGTGTGTGTGTCAACAGGGCCATTACCTTGGTGTGTTCTGATCGCTGGGCCTGTGTGTGTGTCGACAGGGCCATTACCTTGGTGTGTTCTGATCGCTGGGCGTGTGTGTCGACAGGGCCATTACCTTGGTGTGTTCTGATCGCTGGGCGTGTGTGTCGACAGGGCCATTACCTTGGTGTGTTCTGATCGCTGGGCCTGTGTGTCGACAGGGCCATTACCTTGGTGTGTTCTGATCGCTGGGTGTGTGTGTCGACAGGGCCATTACCTTGGTGTGTTCTGATCGCTGGGCGTGTGTGTCGACAGGGCCATTACCTTGGTGTGTTCTGATCGCTGGGCGTGTGTGTCGACAGGGCCATTACTTGGTGTGTTCTGATCGCTGGGCGTGTGTGTGTGTCAACAGGGCCATTACCTTGGTGTGTTCTGATCGCTGGGCGTGTGTGTGTGTGTCGACAGGGCCATTACCTTGGTGTGTTCTGATCGCTGGGCGTGTGTGTGTGTGTCGACAGGGCCATTACCTTGGTGTGTTCTGATCGCTGGGCGTGTGTGTGTGTGTCGACAGGGCCATTACCTTGGTGTGTTCTGATCGCTGGGCGTGTGTGTCGACAGGGCCATTACCTTGGTGTGTTCTGATCGCTGGGCCTGTGTGTGTGTGTGTCGACAGGGCCATTACCTTGGTGTGTTCTGATCGCTGGGCGTGTGTGTCGACAGGGCCATTACCTTGGTGTGTTCTGATCGCTGGGCGTGTGTGTCGACAGGGCCATTACCTTGATGTGTTCTGATCGCTGGGCGTGTGTGTCGACAGGGCCATTACCTTGGTGTGTTCTGATCGCGGGGCGTGTGTGTCGACAGGGCCATTACCTTGGTGTGTTCTGATCGCTGGGCGTCGTTGGAGGGATGGAGCACCTGCAGGCCGCACATGTCACACACGTCACCATGGAGATAGGCACAGTTGAGTCCGTAGCGACACTCCCCCATGGCGGCGTAGGGACACAGAGTCTTCCTCAACTCCTTATCGTCTACCGCTGGGTCTTTCTCTGGCGCCATCAGAGGACCCACCCCCGGCCCCGGGCCCTCAGACTTCACTGGGTCTGATGGGGGGAGGGGAGAGGAGAGGTGGGGGAGAGGAGAGGTGAGAGAGAGGAGAGGTGAGAGAGAGGAGAGGTGGGAGAGAGGAGAGGTGAGAGAGAGAGAGAGGTGGGAGAGAGAGGAGAGGTGAGAGAGAGAGAGAGGTGAGATCCGGACACACACAGACACATGGAAACATTCAATGACTTGGCTCCTACAAATGTTGTCATTCATTTACCTCATTGGTCTGGTGGTCTATAAACCAACTTGTAAATAAAGATGCTAAAATGCCCCAAAAGGAAATATCTCACTCTCTCTCTTTTCCCCCTCACTGTCACTCACACTCTCTCTCTCTTCCCCCTCACCGTCACTCACTCTCTCTCTCTCTTCCCCCTCACTGTCACCCTACCCTACCCTACTCTACTCTACTCTACAAGACAAAGGCACCTGTTCAGTGAGAGACTGGATTGGGGAGCAGCCAAACAGAAAGGGGATGCTGTGTATTCCCAAATGGCACCCCATTTCCTATATAGTGCCTTTGGCCTACTCTGTGGTTGAGCAGCTCTGTACTGGGCTACTCTGTGGTTGAGCAGCTCTGTACTGGGCTACTCTGTGGTTGAGCAGCTCTGTACTGGGCTACTCTGTGGTTGAGCAGCTCTGTACGGGGCTACTCTGTGGTTGAGCAGCTCTGTACTGGGCTACTCTGTGGTTGAGCAGCTCTGTCCTGGGCTACTCTGTGGTTGAGCAGCTCTGTACGGGGCTACTCTGTGGTTGAGCAGCTCTGTACGGGGCTACTCTGTGGTTGAGCAGCTCTGTACGGGGCTACTCTGTGGTTGAGCAGCTCTGTCCTGGGCTACTCTGTGGTTGAGCAGCTCTGTCCTGGGCTACTCTGTGGTTGAGCAGCTCTGTACTGGGCTACTCTGTGGTTGAGCAGCTCTGTACTGGGCTACTCTGTGGTTGAGCAGCTCTGTGCTGGGCTATTCTGTGGTTGAGGTCACTGAGGATGCTAGATGAAAATGCTGTCTACTTGTAACAACCAGAGCATCTACAGGGGGTCTCTGACCAGGGGATAGACAACGCTGTTAGGGCTCAGACACAGAATAATACAGGTTGATGGGCAGTCAACACATTGGCAGTCAACGTGGCAGTCAACATCTTTCAACATTCCACTAACTCCCATACAGTAGCTGGCCACACCAGAATTATTTTTCAACATTGGACAATATTTTATTTTGGACTTCACTGGGAGTATATCATCGGAAACGAGTTAGTATTGGCAGATTTAATGAGCTTGTAGGAACTATAGCTGCTACATGAAGTGGCTGTGTCTTATTGACTTCGGTCACTTACAGTACATCAAGTCCACCCCATAGGGAGACAGGAAGACCGCTACAGTACATCAAGTCCACCCCATAGGGAGACAGAGGGACAGACAGGAAGACCGCTACAGTACATCAAGTCCACCCTATAGGGAGACAGAGGGACACAGACAGGAAGACCGCTACAGTACATCAAGTCCACCCCATGGGAGACAGAGGGACAGACAGGAAGACCGCACTACAGTCTACACAAAGTTACACACCCCATAGGGAGACAGAGGGGCAGACAGGAAGACCGCTACAGTACATCAAGTCCACCCCATAGGGGGAGACAAGGGACAGACAGGAAGACCGCTACAGTACATCAAGTCCACCCATGGGGAGACAGAGGGACAGACAGAAAGACCGCTACAGTACATCAAGTCCACCCCATAGGGAGACAGAGGGACAGACAGGAAGACCGCTACAGTACATCAAGTCCACCCTATAGGAGACAGGAAGACCGCTACAGTACATCAAGTCCACCCTATAGGGAGACAGAGGGACAGACAGGAAGACCGCTACAGTACATCAAGTCCACCCCATAGGGAGACAGAGGGACAGACAGGAAGACCGCTACAGTACATCAAGTCCACCCCATAGGGAGACAGGAAGACCGCTACAGTACATCAAGTCCACCCCATAGGGAGACAGAGGGACAGACAGGAAGACCGCTACAGTACATCAAGTCCACCCCATAGGGAGACAGAGGGACAGACAGGAAGACCGCTACAGTACATCAAGTCCACCCCATAGGGAGACAGAGGGACAGACAGGAAGACCGCTACAGTACATCAAGTCCACCCCATGGGAGACAGAGGGACAGACAGGAAGACCGCTACAGTACATCAAGTCCACCCCATAGGGAGACAGAGGGACAGACAGGAAGACCGCTACAGTACATCAGTCCACCCCATAGGGAGACAGAGGGACAGACAGGAAGACCGCTACAGTACATCAAGTCCACCCCATAGGGAGACAGAGGGACAGACAGGAAGACCGCTACATTCAAAATCATCCCAGAAAAAGCCTTTTCTTTCACACTGTGTCTGGCCACGTGGCAGAAGTTGGCAGCGACTGGCACCGTTGGCATATCAGTGGCTCTGGACACTCACTCACCCTAACCGCAAGCTAAGGATACCACCTGGCAGGCTGGCACAAACTCACCCTGTCCGCAGTTGGGCTAGCCTAAGGACACCATCTGAGTCCCAAATGGCACTAAGTGTACAAAAACATTAGGAACACCTGCTCTATCCATGATCAAAATTGCAATATATGTGCAATCAATATTCTTTGACACTCCATTAATACTACAAAAAAACTAGACTATGGGACCTCCTCCAATGAGATGCGTTAGACTCCGTTGATTCACTCTCTACCTGCACAGAGGATGCTGACCAATCACAAGCGGGCTCTCACTCTCTGCATGGCATGCACATGTTGGCCAATCACAAGCGTTCCCGCTTAGAGCGTGCAGTTAGATGCTGGTCAGGACTGAAAAGGTGACCCTCCGTGTCTGTGAGGACTGAAAGGTGACCCTCCGTGTCTGTGAGGACTGAAAGGTGACCCTCCGTGTCTGTGAGGACTGAAAGGTGACCCTCCGTGTCTGTGAGGACTGAAAGGTGACCCTCCGTGTCTGTGAGGACTGAAAGGTGACCCTCCGTGTCTGTGAGGACTGAAAGGTGACCCTCCGTGTCTGTGAGGACTGAAAGGTGACCCTCCGTGTCTGTGAGGACTGAAAGGTGACCCTCCGTGTCTGTGAGGACTGAAAGGTGACCCTCCGTGTCTGTGAGGACTGAAAGGTGACCCTCCGTGTCTGTGAGGACTGAAAGGTGACCCTCCGTGTCTGTGAGGACTGAAAGGTGACCCTCCGTGTCTGTGAGGACTGAAAGGTGACCCTCCGTGTCTGTGAGGACTGAAAGGTGACCCTCCGTGTCTGTGAGGACTGAAAGGTGACCCTCCGTGTCTGTGAGGACTGAAAGGTGACCCTCCGTGTCTGTGAGGACTGAAAGGTGACCCTCCGTGTCTGTGAGGACTGCTAATAGTGTTAATGAGAACGTCTATTTGGTGCCAAAGAAGGGTGCATCTTTAGAGGTATGGCAGTATTTCAGCACATCTTCAGAGGTATGGCAGTATTTCAGCTCATCTTCAGTGGTATGGCAGTATTTCAGCTCATCTTCAGTGGTATGGCAGTATTTCAGTGTATCTTCAGAGGTATGGCAGTATTTCAACACATCTTCAGAGGTATGGCAGTATTTCAGCGTATCTTCAGTGGTATGGCAGTATTTCAGCGCATCTTCAGTGGTATGGCAGTATTTCGGCACATCTTCAGAGGTATGGCAGTATTTCAGCGTATCTTCAGAGGTATGGCAGTATTTCAGCGTATCTTCAGTGGTATGGCAGTATTTCGGCACATCTTCAGAGGTATGGCAGTATTTCAGCGTATCTTCAGAGGTATGGCAGTATTTCAGCGTATCTTCAGTGGTATGGCAGTATTTCGGCACATCTTCAGAGGTATGGCAGTATTTCGGCACATCTTCAGTGGTATGGCAGTATTTCGGCACATCTTCAGTGGTATGGCAGTATTTCAACACATCTTCAGAGGTATGGCAGTATTTCAACACATCTTCAGTGGTATGGCAGTATTTCGGCTACAGGCAAACCGATGTTAACCAAATGCAAGTGCTTCAGTTGCGGCAACAACAAGAAGCAATACGACAAATGGATTCAATGATTTGAAGAAGAACCATTCCCTACTTTACGGCGACAGACCGCAGCAAAGCCCCTCGGCCACAGCCAGCCACCTACGTTAAAACAGGCATTGATTGCCGATGCGCTTTCAAGTGTAATGCCCTACAAAAAAAACATCCTGCAGACACAGAAAAATAACAGAGAGTCTATCACCCTATCACATAGCCAAAGACATGGTTCCTATTTACACTGTCAGCAAAGACGGCTTCAAGAAGATGACAAACAAGCTGGGTCAGGTGATACAACGTTCCATCTCGCACAGAGCCCATTTCTCCCAAGTCGCCATCCCAACGTTAACAAAAAAAAGTTGAAAACAGAGCTCAAACATGATCAATATTGCCACAACAGACCTTTGGTCCAGGACAGGACTAGACAACCCTGGTCCTGGAATGATGCAGGAACTTCCTGGTTTTTAATTTAAAACGGACCTGGAAGACCAGGTGTGTTGGATTTAGGCAATCACTGAACTGATCAATTAGCTCAGAGGGTCAAGGCTGCGTTCAGTACATAAAAACATTCAACTGAACGGAAAACGGTGCTGTCGTTCAGTACAAACCGTTCCAACGACGTAGTAAACCTTCAAGTGAACTGAACGCACCCCCTGGCGTGGTGCCTAGTTGGTTCCCTACATTAGTTTGACAGTACACTTTATTGATGAGGAGTTTCAGCTGAAAGGTTGGTGCTCGCAAACCTCATACTACTTCCCCGGAGATCACAGGGAGACAACATGTCTCTGGGGTTGGGAGGAGCTTTAGTCTCCTGGGGACTGAATAAAGACAGCCAGTGTGATAGGGTTGGGAGGAGCTTTAGTCTCCTGGGGACTGAATGATGAGCAGCCAGTGTGATGGGGTTGGGAGGAGCTTTAGTCTCCTGGGGACTGAATGATGAGCAGCCAGTGTGATAGGGTTGGGAGGAGCTTTAGTCTCCTGGGGACTGAATGATGAGCAGCCAGTGTGATAGGGTTGGGAGGAGCTTTAGCTGCCTGGGGACTGAATGATGGGCAGCCAGTGTGATAGGGTTGGGAGGAGCTTTAGTCTCCTGGGGACTGAATGATGAGCAGCCAGTGTGATAGGGTTGGGAGGAGCTTTAGTCTCCTGGGGACTGAATGATGGGCAGCCAGTGTGATGGGGTTGAGAGGAGCTTTAGTCTCCTGGGGACTGAATAAAGACAGCCAGTGTGATAGGGTTGGGAGGAGCTTTAGTCTCCTGGGGACTGAATAAAGACAGCCAGTGTGATAGGGTTGGGAGGAGCTTTAGTCTCCTGGGGACTGAATGATGAGCAGCCAGTGTGATGGGGTTGGGAGGAGCTTTAGTCTCCTGGGGACTGAATGATGAGCAGCCAGTGTGATAGGGTTGGGAGGAGCTTTAGTCTCCTGGGGACTGAATGATGAGCAGCCAGTGTGATAGGGTTGGGAGGAGCTTTAGTCTCCTGGGGACTGAATGATGAGCAGCCAGTGTGATAGGGTTGGGAGGGGCTTTAGTCTCCTGGGGACTGAATGATGAGCAGCCAGTGTGATAGGGTTGGGAGGAGCTTTAGTCTCCTGGGGACTGAATGATGGGCAGCCAGTGTGATAGGGTTGGGAGGAGCTTTAGTCTCCTGGGGACTGAATGATGGGCAGCCAGTGTGATAGGGTTGGGAGGAGCTTTAGTCTCCTGGGGACTGAATGATGAGCAGCCAGTGTGATAGGGTTGGGAGGAGCTTTAGTCTCCTGGGGACTGAATGATGAGCAGCCAGTGTGATAGGGTTGGGAGGAGCTTTAGTCTCCTGGGGACTGAATGATGAGCAGCCAGTGTGATGGGGTTGGGAGGAGCTTTAGTCTCCTGGGGACTGAATGATGAGCAGCCAGTGTGATAGGGTTGGGAGGAGCTTAGTCTCCTGGGGACTGAATGATGAGCAGCCAGTGTGATAGGGTTGGGAGGAGCTTTAGTCTCCTGGGGACTGAATGATGGGCAGCCAGTGTGATAGGGTTGGGAGGAGCTTTAGTCTCCTGGGGACTGAATGATGGGCAGCCAGTGTGATAGGGTTGGGAGGAGCTTTAGTCTCCTGGGGACTGAATGATGAGCAGCCAGTGTGATAGGGTTGGGAGGAGCTTTAGTCTCCTGGGGACTGAATGATGAGCAGCCAGTGTGATGGGGTTGGGAGGAGCTTTAGTCTCCTGGGGACTGAATGATGAGCAGCCAGTGTGATAGGGTTGGGAGGAGCTTTAGTCTCCTGGGGACTGAATGATGAGCAGCCAGTGTGATAGGGTTGGGAGGAGCTTTAGTCTCCTGGGGACTGAATGATGGGCAGCCAGTGTGATAGGGTTGGGAGGAGCTTTAGTCTCCTGGGGACTGAATGATGAGCAGCCAGTGTGATAGGGTTGGGAGGAGCTTTAGTCTCCTGGGGACTGAATGATGGGCAGCCAGTGTGATAGGGTTGGGAGGAGCTTTAGTCTCCTGGGGACTGAATGATGGGCAGCCAGTGTGATAGGGTTGGGAGGAGCTTTAGTCTCCTGGGGACTGAATGATGAGCAGCCAGTGTGATAGGGTTGGGAGGAGCTTTAGTCTCCTGGGGACTGAATGATGAGCAGCCAGTGTGATAGGGTTGGGAGGAGCTTTAGTCTCCTGGGGACTGAATGATGAGCAGCCAGTGTGATGGGGTTGGGAGGAGCTTTAGTCTCCTGGGGACTGAATGATGAGCAGCCAGTGTGATAGGGTTGGGAGGAGCTTTAGTCTCCTGGGGACTGAATGATGAGCAGCCAGTGTGATAGGGTTGAGAGGAGCTTTAGTCTCCTGGGGACTGAATGATGAGCAGCCAGTGTGATGGGGTTGAGAGGAGCTTTAGTCTCCTGGGGACTGAATGATGAGCAGCCAGTGTGATGGGGTTGGGAGGAGCTTTAGTCTCCTGGGGACTGAATGATGGGCAGCCAGTGTGATAGGGTTGGGAGGAGCTTTAGTCTCCTGGGGACTGAATGATGAGCAGCCAGTGTGATGGGGGTTGGGAGGAGCTTTAGTCTCCTGGGGACTGAATGATGAGAGCCAGTGTGATAGGGTTGGGAGGAGCTTTAGTCTCCTGGGGACTGAATGATGAGCAGCCAGTGTGATAGGGTTGGGAGGAGCTTTAGTCTCCTGGGGACTGAATGATGAGCAGCCAGTGTGATAGGGTTGGGAGGAGCTTTAGTCTCCTGGGGACTGAATGATGAGCAGCCAGTGTGATGGGGTTGGGAGGAGCTTTAGTCTCCTGGGGACTGAATGATGAGCAGCCAGTGTGATGGGGTTGGGAGGAGCTTTAGTCTCCTGGGGACTGAATGATGAGCAGCCAGTGTGATAGGGTTGGGAGGAGCTTTAGTCTCCTGGGGACTGAATGATGAGCAGCCAGTGTGATAGGGTTGAGAGGAGCTTTAGTCTCCTGGGGACTGAATGATGAGCAGCCAGTGTGATAGGGTTGGGAGGAGCTTTAGTCTCCTGGGGACTGAATGATGAGCAGCCAGCCAGTGTGATGGGGTTGGGAGGAGCTTTAGTCTCCTGGGGACTGAATGATGAGCAGCCAGTGTTGATAGGGTTGGGAGGAGCTTTAGTCTCCTGGGGACTGAATGATGAGCAGCCAGCCAGTGTGATGGGGTTGGGAGGAGCTTTAGTCTCCTGGGGACTGAATGATGAGCAGCCAGTGTGATAGGGTTGGGAGGAGCTTTAGTCTCCTGGGGACTGAATGATGAGCAGCCAGTGTGATAATCAGGACGTGGTAAAGACCATCGCGTTGAATAACTGAACCAGACAAGATGCAATGTTTTGGACACAGGCTGCACCTTGCTATCAGTACGTGTTATACGTTTTTTAAAGGCACTTGTGTAATTATGTACAAGTAGGCTCAATCATAAGCTTCCTATACACACACACACACACACTCACCCCGTCCCCAGTAGTAGGGCTGGCCTGGCACAAACTCTGCTGCCATAACCCAGTCCCCTGCCCCTGATCCATGGGGGTTCTCTGGGCCATCTGCTGACTCACCAGCCCCTGGTCCATTGGGCAGAGGGGCTGGAGCGCTGAGGGAGGGAGGGGTGCAGGCGGAGGCAGAGGGCGGCAGCGTCTGCTTGGGCCCAGGCATGTCTTCTTTAGAGTGTTCAAACCTGGATGGAGGAAAGGAGAGAGAGAGAGAGAGAGAGAGAGAGAGATGAGACAGAGGGCAGAGACAGAGAGAGAGAGACGGTTTATATACAATACCAGTCAAAGGTTTGGACACACCTACTCATTCAAGGGTTTTTCTTTATTTTTACTATTTTCTACAACCAAAAAAACAGTTAAATCAAAATATATTTTATATTTGAGATTCTTCAAAGTAGCCACCCTCTGCCTTGAAGACAGCTTTGGCACTCTCTCAACCAGCTTCATGAGGTAGTCACCTGGAATGCATTTCAATTAACAGGTGTGCCTTAACTTAATTTGTGGTATTTCTTTCCTTCTTAATGCGTTTGAGCCAATCAGCTGTGTTGTGACAAGGTAGGGGGGGGGTATACAGAAGAAAGACCAAGTCCATATTATGGCACGAACAGCTCAAACAAGCAACGAGAAACGACAGTCCATCATTACTTTCAGCCATGAAGATAATTCAATCCGGAAAATGTCAAGAACTTTGAGTTTCTTCAAGTGCAGTCACAAAAACCATCAAGCGCTACGATGAAACTGGCTCTCATGAGGACCACCACAGGAATGGAAGACCCAGAGTTACCTCTGCTGCAGAGGATAAGTTCATTAGAGTTACAGTGGGCACCAAAATTACTGGTACCCCCGACTGGCAATGCACAAACAATACTTTAAAAAATATAAAACAATATAATTATAGAGAAACACTGTACTTTATTAAATGTTTCAATGGAACCAACCAAAATCATGGGTTTCATAATTATTGGCACTCCTCATTTAGTACTTAGTGCAACCACCTCTGGCAAGGATAACAGCATGGAGTCTTTTCCTGTAATGTTTAAAAAGGTTAAGGAACACATTTGGGAGGGATTTTGGACCATTCCCTCTATGCAGATCCTTTCAAGATCCTTCACATTCTTGGGTTTGCGCTTATCAACTGCCCTCTTCAACTCAGCTCACAGATTTTCGATTGGATTGAGGTCCGGCGACTGAGATGGCCATGGCAGAACATCGATTTTGTTGTCACAGAACCATTTCTGTGTGGATCTTGAGGTATGTTTTGGGTCATTGTCTTGTTGGAAAGTCCAACTACGGCCAAGTCCCAGCCTTCTGGCAGAGGCAACCAGATTGTCAGCCGAAATGGCCTGATACTTGTTGGAATTCATTACGCCATCAAATCTTAACCAGTGCCCCTGGACCTCTGGAATTAAAACAGCCCCAGAACATCACTGGACCCACCATCATATTTCACCGTGGGTATGAGGTGCCTCTCCTTGCATGCCGATGCTGTATCTGACCAAAACGTTCAATTTTGGTCTCATCTGACCAGAGCACCTTCTTCCAGTCATAATTTAAATGACGTTTGGCAAACTCCAAGCGTCTGTGTCTTGGGGTCAAGAAAGGGCTTTCTTCTGGCAACCCTTCCAAAAGAGCCTGTGGTTGTGGTGGTGGCGGCGTCTGATGGTGCTTTTTGAAACCTGGTGACCCCAAGACGCCACCAGGGCCTGCAATTCATGGGGATTTTGTTGCTTCTCTCACCGTCCTCCTCCCTACCCTGGGCGGCAAAATGCATTTGCTTCCTCTACCCTTGAGGTTTTCAACTGTTCCATATCTTTTAAAAAATAAATAAAAATAATAATATAATTCGTATATTCAATCGTTTGTGGATCTTCTTGTAGCCATGATCAGATGTATGAAGGTCTACAACCATCTGTCTCTTTTGAACTGCCAGGTCTTATGTTTTCTTCATGGTGTTGGATGACAAAGGGATAGTGTATGCGTGTTACCTCATTTTTTATACCCTTGTGAAACAGGAAGTGATGTAATGGCTCAATATAGTTCCATAAGATTTAGATAAACTTAAGTGTAATTTAATTCCTGGTTTAATTTTGGTAGATGTTATTTACAATAAACTTTAAAAAAGGTGCCATTAATTGTGAAACCTTGATTTGGAGGACATTGATTTTTAATTAAATCAATAAATGATTTTTGTAGGTTCCATTGGAACATTAATATAGTACAGTATTTCTCACGTTGAGTTTCTCTAAAAAATAAACAATATAATGATAAAGTATTGGTTTGTGCATTGCCAGTCAGGTGTGCCAGTAATTTTGGAGCCCACTAACTGCACATCAGATTGCAGCCAAAATAAATGCTTCAGAGTTCAAGTAACAGACACATCTCAACATCAACTGCTCAGAGGAGACTGTGTGAATCAGGCCTTCATGGTCGAATTGCTGCAAAAAAATCACTACTAAAAAGGACACCAATAAGAAGAGACTTGCTTGGGCCAAGAAACATGAGCAATGGACATTAGACCGGTGGAAATCTGTCCTTTGGTCTGATGACTCCAAAATGTGAGATTTTTGGTTCCAACCGCCGCCTCTTTGTGAGACGCGGTGTGGGTGAACGGATGATCTCCGCATGTGTGGATCCCACCGTGAAGCACGGAGGTGGTGTGATGGTGCTTTGCACACCTCCAGGCTGTGTAAGGGCTATTTGACCATAAACGAGAGTGATGAGTGCTGCATCAGATGACCTGGCCTCCACAATCACCCGACCTCAACCCAATTGAGATGGTTTGGGATGAGTTGGACCGCAGAGTGAAGGAAAAGCAGCCAAGTGCTCAGCATATGTGGGAACTCCTTCAAGACGGTTGGAAAATCATTCCTCATGAAGCTGCTTGAGAGAATGACAAGAGTGTGAAAAGCTGTCATCAAGGCAAAGGGTGGCTATTTGAAGAATCTGAAATATATTTTGATTTGTTTATGTAGTAACTTTTTTGGTTACTACATGATTCCACGTGTGTTATTTTATAGTTTTGATGTCTTCACTATTATTCTACAATGTAGACAATAAATAAAAACCCTTGAATGAGTAGGTGTGTCCAAACTTTTGACTGGTACTGTAGGCTATCAAAATATTCATGTCATCCACTCCTCAAGTTATTTTCTTGCAGGGAACTGAACTCATCTTACATCCAACTTTTTATTTATTTATGACAACGCTTCACGGTAGCTCCCACAGAACCTCTGACTACTGCTGTTCTATAGACACCTGTGTGTAGACTGCTACCACATTTACATTTTAGTCATTTAGCAGACGCTCTTATCCAGAGAGACTTACAGTAGTGAGTCATTTAGCAGACGCTCTTATCCAGAGAGACTTACAGTAGAGAGTCATTTAGCAGACCCTCTTATCCAGAGAGACTTACAGTAGAGAGTCATTTAGCAGACGCTCTTATCCAGAGAGACTTACAGTAGAGAGTCATTTAGCAGACCCTCTTATCCAGAGAGACTTACAGTAGAGTGTCATTTAGCAGACCCTCTTATCCAGAGAGACTTACAGTAGAGAGTCATTTAGCAGACGCTCTTATCCAGAGAGACTTACAGTAGTGAGTCATTTAGCAGACGCTCTTATCCAGAGAGACTTACAGTAGTGAGTCATTTAGCAGACGCTCTTATCCAGAGAGACTTACAGTAGTGAGTCATTTAGCAGACGCTCTTATCCAGAGAGACTTACAGTAGTGAGTCATTTAGCAGACGCTCTTATCCAGAGAGACTTACAGTAGTGAGTCATTTAGCAGACACTCTTATCCAGAGAGACTTACAGTAGTGAGTCATTTAGCAGACGCTCTTATCCAGAGAGACTTACAGTAGTGAGTCATTTAGCAGACGCTCTTATCCAGAGAGACTTACAGTAGTGAGTCATTTAGCAGACGCTCTTATCCAGAGAGACTTACAGTAGTGAGTCATTTAGCAGACGCTCTTATCCAGAGAGACTTACAGTAGTGAGTCATTTAGCAGACGCTCTTATCCAGAGAGACTTACAGTAGTGAGTCATTTAGCAGACACTCTTATCCAGAGAGACTTTCAGTAGTGAGTCATTTAGCAGACGCTCTTATCCAGAGAGACTTACGGTAGTGAGTCATTTAGCAGACGCTCTTATCCAGAGAGACTTACAGTAGTGTGTCATTTAGCAGACGCTCTTATCCAGAGAGACTTACAGTAGTGAGTCATTTAGCAGACGCTCTTATCCAGAGAGACTTACAGTAGTGAGTCATTTAGCAGACGCTCTTATCCAGAGAGACTTACAGTAGTGAGTCATTTAGCAGACGCTCTTATCCAGAGAGACTTACAGTAGTGAGTCATTTAGCAGACCCTCTTATCCAGAGAGACTTACAATAGCAGACATACAGTTGAGGTTGGAAGTTTACATACACCTTAGCCAAATACATTTAAACTCAGTTTTTCACAATTCCTGACATTTAATCCTAGTAAAAATTCCCTGTGTCTTAGGTCAGTTGGGATCACCACTTTATTTTTAAGAATGTGAAACGTCATAATAATTGTAGATAGAATGATTTATTTAAGCTCTGGACTGGGTCTAGACTACAGCTGAATACCTCTGGACTGGGTCTAGGTCTAGACTACAGCTGAATACCTCTGGACTGGGTCTAGGTTTAGACTACAGCTGAATACCTCTGGAATGGGTCTAGGTTTAGACTACAGCTGAATACCTATGGACTGGGTCTAGGTTTAGACTACAGCTGAATACCTCTGGACTGGGTCTAGGTTTAGACTACAGCTGAATACCTCTGGACTGGGTCTAGGTTTAGACTACAGCTGAATACCTCTGGACTGGGTCTAGGTTTAGACTACAGCTGAATACCTCTGGACTGGGTCTAGGTTTAGACTACAGCTGAATACCTCTGGACTGGGTCTAGGTTTCTACTAGTCTACTTAGAGACCCAGACAGACCACCTCTACTAGCCACCCTGGCCGTAGAGACCACCTCTACTAGCCACCCTGGCCTTAGAGACCCAGACAGACCACCTCTACTAGCCACCCTGGCCTTAGAGACCCAGAGAGACCACCTCTACTAGCCACCCTGGCCTTAGAACCCAGAAGACACCCTACTAGCCACCTGGCCTTAGAGACCCAGAGAGAGCACCTCTACTAGCCATCCTGGCCTTAGAGACCCAGAGACAGCACCTCTACTAGCCATCCTGGCCTTAGAGACCCAGAGAGAGCACCTCTACTAGCCATCCTGGCCTTAGAGACCAGAGAGCCCTCTACTAGCCACCTGGCCTTAGAGACCCAGAAGACACCTCTACTACCACCTGGCCTTAGAGACCCAGAGAGAGCACTCTACTAGCATCCTGGACCTTAGAGCATAGACACGACTACTACTACACTGGCGTTAGAACTACACATGAGAGCAGACTACTACTACTAGCACTCCTGGCTAAGACCCACGAAGACCCCTCTACTAAGCCACTGACACTACTAGACAGACGACACGACTACTACACTCTGACGTACACTACTACACTACTACTACTACTGACTAGACTACTACTACTACTACTACTACTACTACTACTACTACTACTACTACTACTACTACTACGACTACTACTACTACTACTACTACTACTACTACTACTACTACGACTACTACTACTACTACTACTACTACTACTACTACTACTACTACTACTACTACTACTACTACTACTACTACTACTACTACTACTACTACTACTACTACTACTACTACTACTACTACTACTACTACTACTACACTACTACTAACTACTACTAATACTACTACTACTACTACTACTACTACTACTACTACTACTACTACTACTACTACTACTACTACTACTACACTAACTACTACTACTACTACTACTACTACTACTACTACTACTACTACTACTACTACTACTACTACTACTACTACTACTACTACTACTACTACTACTACTACTACTACTACTACTACTACTACTACTACTACTACTACTAACTACTACTACTACTAATACTACTACTACTACTACTACTACTACTACTACTACTACTACTACTACTACTACTACTACTACTACTACTACTACTACTACTACTACTACTACTACTACTACTACTATACTACTACTACTACTACTACTACTACTACTACTACTACTACTACTACTACTACTACTACTACTACTACTACTACTACTACTACTACTACTACTACTACTACTACTACTACTACTACTACTACTACTAACCTGTGTGGCCTTAGAGACAGGAGAGGGGAGGGAGAGAGAGGCAGGAGGAGGAAGAGGGGAGGGAGAGACAGGGGGAGGGAGATGGAGGTATGCATAAATGAATGACTGAAGAGCTGTGGAAACACTGCTGCAGAATGGAGGGACGAACCAACAGGGGGGAGGAGGGCAGTCAGAAAGAACAGCAGAGAGAGAGAGAGACACGGTTATGTAATTGCCATGAACGCTGCAGTGCTCTCCATCTGGCCTGGGGCTGCAGAAAGACTGACTACGTCCCAAATGGCACCCCATTCCCTTCATAGAGCACTACTTTAGATCAGACCTATGGGCCCTGGTTAAAAGTAGTGCACTATATAGGGAGCCAATTGGGACCCAGAGAGAGAACTCCACAACAGCTCCACGACCCAGTAGTTCATCTACAATGAAGTCCCCACAGAGGTGCCTATTCTCTGGCTGCCCCTCCTCTCCTCACTCCTCCTCCACCCCTACTCTTCCCCTCCTCCTCCACTCCTCCTCTTCACCCCCACCCCATCCCCTCCTCCTCCACTCCTCCCCCACCCCATCCCCTCCTCCCCTCCTCCTCCAGCTCCCTATGGTATAATGAGGGCTGATGCATCTCCGTCATATGGACTGACTGACTGAGGAATGTTCCTTTACAAACCAACAGCACAATGCTACACCAGGTTTAAGCTATCTCAGTGGGTAGGCTAGTAGTCATGGAAATGCTGAATATGGATTCAGTATGTAAAAGTAACAGTTATTACCATATCCATCCAGACAGCTAACAAAATACATTCCCTTTAGGGCTAGTTACGCAACAACAACAGCACAATACTACCCAGGTTCAGGTCTAAGCTGTACTCCTGAGTGGCGCAGTGGTCTAAGGCACTGCATCGCAGTGCTAACTGTGCCACTAGAGATCCTGGTTCGAATCCAGGCTCTGTCGCAGCCGGCCGCGACCGGGAGACTCATGGGCGGCGCACAATTGGCCCAGGGTAGGGGAGGGAATGGCCGGCAGGGATGTAGCTCAGTCGATAGAGCATGGCGTTTGCAACGGCAGGGGGTTTGATTCCCACAGGGGGCCAGTATAAAAAAAAATAATAGATGTATTCACTAACTGTAAGTCGCTCTGGATAGGAGCGTCTGCTAAATGACTAAAATGTAAATGTAAGCCATCTCATTGGGTAGGCTAGTAGTCAGATGCTCAGAGTCAGCAGCCTATGGATGGACTATGCAAATCTTTGTTATTACCATATATCCAGGCTAGACGGCTAACAAAAGCAACGGAGTGCATCCCAAATAGCACCCCTATCCCCCCGATATAGTGCACTACTTTTGATCAGTTCACTAAAAACAGGGGGGGAAAAAAGGGTGCCGTTTTGGGACGCAGCCATTCCCTAACAGACAGTTGACCTGGGAGCAGCTAGCAGCTGTAACTATGGGGATGTTAACTATGGGATGGTAACTATGGGGATGCTGCTAAAAGCTTAGACTAATAGGGGAGGCGCTGTCTGAATGAACCGGCTGAACTCACGTCTGGTTCAAGACTCAAAATGAGAAGTCTACAAAACGACTGAATCAGAATGAGTTCAGTGAGATGTCTTAGGATGTGACGTAGGCCGTCTCCCACTCTGACAGGACAGCCTGCATTGTGGCTCCTGGATATCAATGATTTAGCCTATTTGTTTAAAAAAACGCAAATAGTGGTCAATTTAACGTTCACTACTACCTGTAGCCTATATATAGGGCTCCCGAGTGGCGCAGCGGTCTAAGGCACTGCATCTCAGTGCTAGAGGCGTCACTACAGACCGAGTGGTGCAGCGGTCTAAGGCACTGCATCTCAGTGCTAGAGGCGTCACTACAGACCCCCTGGTTGGATTCCAGGCTGTATCACAACCGGCCCGTGATTGGGAGTCCAATAGGGTGGCGCACAATTGGCCCAGCGTCGTCCGGGTTTGGCCAGGGGTAGGCCGTCATTGTAAATAAGTATGTGTTCTTAACCCTCAGGGCCACGTCAGGGTGACCCACTCTTTCTCTTCTCATAACAAAGTGGCACATTTCAGTTTCAATCCCATTTTCCCAGCCTGTCATTTACACAAAAAAAATACGAACAACACCACGACCGGCCTTGCTTGGTCAAACATTGATAGGAGTAACAACATAACCCCAAATTCATGCTGTGTTCATGAGCTGTAAGCCGTAATCATCAAGATTAAAACAAATACAGCCTTGAACTAGTTCACCTTTTTGTGTAATTAATCCACGATATGAGTTTCACTTTGTCAATTGAATTATTGAAATTACTTAACTTTTCCACAATATTCTAAATGTATTGAGCTGCACCTGTAGATGAAGCCTGAGCTGGAATGTGAAGCTAACTGAAGCTGGTTAGCTTTAGGGTTTTCTAAGTAGATCTAGATTTCTTCATAGGATACCCCTCAGGTGGGCGATAGATAATGTTACGCTTGAGTGGACAAGTGACAGAGACTGCATGGAATTCAAATGAGAAGATTGACAGGAGAACAGGAAATCATCTCTTGGGAGAAATGAGAAGCCCTGTGCCACCACCGCGACGACCCGATGCGCTCAGGACTATGAGAGAACATAGATGAGGAGCGAGGAACTGGGGTAATCCATGTCTCCATCAGGGCAATATGGGCTCATATGACAGCAGACGATGGATCATTGCTAGGGCCCTTAAATTACCTTTAGCCTGGTCGATGGCTGGTACGGGCGTTAGCCTGGTCGATGGCTGGTACGGGCGTTAGCCTGGTCGATGGCTGGTACGGGCGTTAGCCTGGTCGATGGCTGGTACGGGCGTTAGCCTGGTCGATGGCTGGTACGGGCGTTAGCCTGGTCGATGGCTGGTACGGGCGTTAGCCTGGTCGATGGCTGGTACGGGCGTTAGCCTGGTCGATGGCTGGTACGGGCGTTAGCCTGGTCGATGGCTGGTACGGGCGTTAGCCTGGTCGATGGCTGGTACGGGCGTTAGCCTGGTCGATGGCTGGTACGGGCGTTAGCCTGGTCGATGGCTGGTACGGGCGTTAGCCTGGTCGATGGCTGGTACGGGCGTTAGCCTGGTCGATGGCTGGTACGGGCGTTAGCCTGGTCGATGGCTGGTACGGGCGTTAGCCTGGTCGATGGCTGGTACGGGCGTTAGCCTGGTCGATGGCTGGTACGGGCGTTAGCCTGGTCGATGGCTGGTACGGGCGTTAGCCTGGTCGATGGCTGGTACGGGCGTTAGCCTGGTCGATGGCTGGTACGGGCGTTAGCCTGGTCGATGGCTGGTACGGGCGTTAGCCTGGTCGATGGCTGGTACGGGCGTTAGCCTGGTCGATGGCTGGTACGGGCGTTAGCCTGGTCGATGGCTGGTACGGGCGTTAGCCTGGTCGATGGCTGGTACGGGCGTTAGCCTGGTCGATGGCTGGTACGGGCGTTAGCCTGGTCGATGGCTGGTACGGGCGTGTGCGTGCATGTAAGCAAGGTGAAAAGCATGTCAACATTAGGAAACCGCTGTGTCGTTTCGTGGCATTGCTTTCTCAGGTGTCAGATGATTCCCTGGAAGAGCATTCCACTACATTGACGTCATTTAGCAGACGCTCTTATCCAGAGCGACTTACAGTTAGTGAGTGCATACATTATTTTATTTTTTTATTTTTTTATACCCCCCCGTGGGAATCGAACCCACAACCCTGGCGTTGCAAGCGCCATGCTCTACCAATTGAGCTACATCCCCTGCCGGCCATTCCCTCCCCTACCCTAGACGACGCTGGGCCAATTGTGCACCGCCCCCATGGGTCTCCCGGTCGCGGCCGGCTACGACAGAGCCTGGATTCGAACCAGGATCTCTAGTGGCACAGCTAGCACTGCGATGCAGTGTCTTAGACCACTGCGCCACTCGGGAGACAACACAGCCTGCTAACTCTTATCAGAAGCAAATCTGACTAATCAGTCACCGACTGCACTAAACATACTGTATCCTACTCCTGGTGCTGTCTCTGTGTGAGTCAATACTAAACATACTGTCTCCTACTCCTGGTGCCGTCTCCGTGTGAGTCAATACTAAACATCCTGTATCCTACTCCTGGTGCCGTCTCCGTGTGAGTCAATACTAAACATACTGTATCCTACTCCTGGTGCTGTCTCTATTAGTCAATACTAAACATACTGTATCCTACTCCTGGTGCCGTCTCCGTGTGAGTCAATACTAAACATACTGTCTCCTACTCCTGGTGCCGTCTCCGTGTGAGTCAATACTAACCATACTGTATCCTACTCCTGGTGCTGTCTCTATTAGTCAATACTAAACATACTGTCTCCTACTCCTGGTGCCGTCTCCGTGTGAGTCAATACTAAACATACTGTCTCCTACTCCTGGTGCCGTCTCCGTGTGAGTCAATACTAAACATACTGTATCCTACTCCTGGTGCTGTCTCTATTAGTCAATACTAAACATACTGTCTCCTACTCCTGGTGCCGTCTCCGTGTGAGTCAATACTAACCATACTGTATCCTACTCCTGGTGCTGTCTCTATTAGTCAATACTAAACATACTGTATCCTACTCCTGGTGCTGTCTCTATTAGTCAATACTAAACATACTGTATCCTACTCCTGGTGCCGTCTCCGTGTGAGTCAATACTAAACATACTGTATCCTACTCCTGGTGCCGTCTCCGTGTGAGTCAATACTAAACATACTGTCTCCTACTCCTGGTGCCGTCTCCGTGTGAGTCAATACTAAACATACTGTCTCCTACTCCTGGTGCTGTCTCCGTGTGAGTCAATACTAAACATACTGTATCCTACTCCTGGTGCCGTCTCCGTGTGAGTCAATACTAAACATACTGTCTCCTACTCCTGGTGCCGTCTCCGTGTGAGTCAATACTAACCATACTGTATCCTACTCCTGGTGCTGTCTCTATTAGTCAATACTAAACATACTGTATCCTACTCCTGGTGCTGTCTCTATTAGTCAATACTAAACATACTGTATCCTACTCCTGGTGCTGTCTCTATTAGTCAATACTAAACATACTGTATCCTACTCCTGGTGCTGTCTCTATTAGTCAATACTAAACATACTGTCTCCTACTCCTGGTGCTGTCTCCGTGTGAGTCAATACTAAACATACTGTATCCTACTCCTGGTGCTGTCTCCGTGTGAGTCAATACTAAACATACTGTCTCCTACTCCTGGTGCCGTCTCCGTGTGAGTCAATACTAAACATACTGTATCCTACTCCTGGTGCCGTCTCCGTGTGAGTCAATACTAAACATACTGTATCCTACTCCTGGTGCCGTCTCCGTGTGAGACAATACTAAACATACTGTATCCTACTCCTGGTGCCGTCTCCGTGTGAGTCAATACTAAACATACTGTATCCTACTCCTGGTGCCGTCTCCGTGTGAGTCAATACTAAACATACTGTATCCTACTCCTGGTGCTGTCTCCGTGTGAGTCAATACTAAACATACTGTCTCCTACTCCTGGTGCCGTCTCCGTGTGAGTCAATACTAAACATACTGTATCCTACTCCTGGTGCAGTCTCTGTGTGAGTCAATACTAAACACACTGTCTCCTACTCCTGGTGCCGTCTCCGTGTGAGTCAATACTAAACATACTGT